TCCACAGCAAGCATCTGAGTGCATGTGAGCGTTACATCAGGAACGTTAGCTCCAGAAAGCATCCTTCTCTAAAAATCCGATTTCTTTCAAGTACTGGACATTTTTAGGGGGGAAAAAATAAATCGTTGGGCCTGAATTAACTGGATAATGAATTCAACAATTCAGTGTAAGCAGATGCTTGTAAGGTATGTGGGCTTAAAAAACAGTCTTTTCAAGCTACCGTTCTGTGGCTAAGACCTTACCCTTTCCTGTGGCAAAGTCCTCAATGTAAAGAGTTCAGCTTCAACAATGAGTCAAGATTTCTAGGGCGTCAGTTTGCAAAAAAATGCCAAAAGTTTGATTCTTTAAATGTCTCTGGAAATGAGTTAATATCTCTCAAAACCTCCAGTGACACCCATAAGCTCCGGTTCCTTTTGTAACGGTAAGAAAACCTAAGAGGGGCTGGGTTAGAAGCATACACAGTTCCTTTTTATGGAACTAAATTCACTGGAATTGAGTCAAAAGGTAAGTGTTTTCTACCTCTTGGACCTCAGGATTTTGACTACAGAATCTCGAGCAAAGACATTTCTGCCACGTTTCTGAAGGCAAAAGTAGGGAAAAAAAATGTTCATTTTTAAGGGACAAAATCCTACTTGTGCCATACACTTGGACAATCGCCAACATAAAACTCCTCAGAGCTATTTGCTTTTAAGAAATAAAATCTATTGCTTTATGTTTTAAAATGGCGTCATCTCTAGCATTTTCCTGGCAGATGACTTAAAGGAGAAATGAGCTCTTCTGCCCTGAAATTCAAAATTCACTTCCTTGATTCCCTGGTTCCTGATCAGCAAATTCAAACACTGCCATAATTACAACAAAAATCTAGATGAACAATCCATGAATTAAATCTAAAATTAGCTGAGTTTCCTAACCAGATGCATGTAAAAGCATCCCTCATTATATTAGAAATAAAAAAAAAATGTTTTAATCTCTATAAAAAGAAAATGTAGATCTATAATACAGAAGATTTCGAGACTTAAAAAAAATCTTATCTGAAATAATGGGGTTTACAAAGTGTAGTTTTAGATACACTCTGTGTTTTCTTGATAAAACTTGGGGAAATCAGAAGTTTTTTAGTGTTCCTTTTTAGGTAAAAAAACAAAAACAAAAAAAACCCCAGCTATTTTCTCTGATGATAGTTCAAAATGAACATTTCAGCCATTTCAATGGGAGCTATTATATGATTTGATATAATGTTCACCTCTTTCAGACCTTCCGATAACCTGTTTGCAGATAATCACAAGTCTGTTAAAGAAAAAGTCTGCTTGATTCACCATTCATCCGAGGGCATAATTGACTAGAAAGGAAATCCAAAACCAGTATCTTTACCATTTCCTACTTCTCGGATATTCCCCAGGGTCTGCCCAGCCACAATGCTGGGCCCAAGGCGATCTGAGGCTAATTGATTATCTAAAGGAAACAGATGTGAAAAGTAAGTGAAACTACCTATTTAAAATACACTCTGGGTAAGCCAGATGTTAAGGGAGGGGTGGGGAGATTAATTTGGTTTCCAACTGTGGTGATTTGTGTAATGGATAGTCTAGTTTTGCAAAAAAAAAAAAAAAAAAAAAAAAAAAAAAAGTTTGAAATTATTTTTTCCCAAATGGCGGGTCAAAATATTGCTTTTGTACGTCTGGCCGGTCCAGTTTAAGAGCACGCTCTTCGTTTTAACTCAGATGCTACAGAACTTGCAACCCCCTCCGACAGCTCAGAGGACACTGTCCAGTTCCGACGTCCTTGTTGAACCCACGTGTAACTGGCCCAAGACATGCCTCTGTGACGCTTTCGTGGGCCATGATGTTTAATTGGTTAAAACCGAGTGTGAGTGTCACGGAATAGAAATCCTCTCTCAAGTAAAAAGGGGAAAGTCAAATTCGAAATGATATAAATGACGAGAGTCATCTTGGATGTCCAGCCAAGGCCATCAGGGAGCTTACACAGTCAAGTTCCCGACCTCCTACACCACTTATTTTTCTATGGGAGGATGTTAACCTTATGACAGGACACATAGTATGTATTTCAGTTTTGACAGAATGCAAAACGACGTTTCCATCTGTATCTTTAAGGCTGGAACTCATAGGCCATCGGACCTCAGGATTTGCAAAAACGCTAAGGTCTGTGCTGGCCCGGCTCCACACGGGACCACACGGGACAAGCCCTGGTACAGAAACCACCCTGGGTGTGCGATTGCTTCCGTCCTCACATGCCCAGTGACACACTCAGGAAGTTGGGACCATCCCAGAAATCAGGGACCAGGGTGCTATGAACGGCTCCCTGTGCTTTATCACATTTTAAAACTTAAAACTTGGGGAAACCTGGGGGCTTCCGAGTTCACCCAGCCACAGAAAGGATGTAAGTGAATCTTGGACCATCCGATGCCTGCTAATTCAATTGCCTGGAATTCCAGTCATTAGCTAAGCAGTCTTCCAAATGAAGACATCCGGTCTCCTCCAATTTTCCACTTAAAACAGAACACAGAAGAATAGATCTGACCAATCAACTTAGGATAAAATTACCCATGGAAATGATTTATGTGCAAGGATTAGGGACTGGGCAGTGTCTGATGAAAAACCCTATGCGACCACTTGAGGTTTCGTGGATTCACACATTTCCAGGGAATGACCTTCACGTCTGTGATGGAGGTTGTAGAAAATGGGCCACCCGTTTACAATGTGCACGTAGTATCGTCTGAAATGTGTGCACACTTCCGTTTGAGTGATTTTTAAGGCATTCTGATAATTTCATAAGCTCTGAATGAGAGCTGACCTTAAAAACAAAGGTGCCATGGATGACACACACTTAGGGTCACGGGGTCCATACTCACAATTAAGACAGCACACACGAGAAACCGAGTTCATATAATTTATTGCAGTTAGCACACAGTTTAAAAATTCACCAACACACCAACGGTACAAAACTAAACAGCATTATAAGTTATTCCCCCCTCAGGAAAATAAAACGTACTATGATTGTCAAAGCTAGATGTCAGTCTAAGTTTTTAGAACAAAGGAAGAATGTGAAACTAAGAGGAAAAAGTAATCACTCACAATGACCACGAAAAGAAAATTCAAAAGTCCGTTCTCTCACAGACATTGATTGTCTTCTCTAAATTAATAAAAATTACTTTAAACATAAACTGTATTTAATAAAAAAAAAAAAAAAAAAACAAAAAAAAACTAGAAACTCTTCAAGTAACTAAAGGTAATGCTCCAAGGCCATTTTCACAGCTTTTTTTTTTTTTTCTGTTTGTTTGTTTGCTTGCTTTAAATGCCATTACAGCCAAATGAACGCGCGTTGGACCAAATATTTCCAAAACAGTCCAGCAACACACAATGGAGTTTTCCATTCAGTATCTTAAGCACAAAAATAGGCTATGTTTACAGTAGTTAAGGCGATCAAATTTTAAACAAAAGCAATTAAGGAGGAGAAAAAAAAAATAAAAGGAAAAAACAGCAAACGTTTTCCATGCTACTCCCATAGACCTTATTTGTAAGTGCAAGACAGGAAAACAAACACTGTGCAAAATGCTCTGCCCCGCGCGGCCACCACACCGCGGCCGGCTGGGCTGCAGCCTCTGCCGCCACCACGCAGTCTGCTCCCCCTACCCCCCTCCCCGTGTCAATCAAGGCAGCCCGGGCCTTTCAGCCTGGGGCTTTTTCAGTCCATAGAATCTTTTCATGAGGCGGGGGAAGGGTGGGAGGTGGGATAGGGAGGGCGGGGAAGGGAGAAGGGGGAGCCAAAAAAAAAAAAGAATGACCTATTGTCAATTTGTGCAGTAGTTTTTCTAAGGACGCTCAACCGGGCATGTGTACACCAAAGCCGGCATGGGTTCTGTGCAATCGGGAGTTTGTGATAAATGCACACTGCACATGCAAGTCTGTAAGCCGTTTGTAAACATTTATATTTTCCTTGTTATGTAGCGAAGGTATCAATTTGCAGCTTACGTTTTTTTTTAGTCAGCTTAACAGTCTCAACTTAAAGACAGTGGGAAAAGTCGATTTAAATTATATAAAATAAAAATAAAATAAAAAAACAGTGCATTTACGTTCTTCATAACACCGGGTTATTTCCCAAACGGTGCTATTTTTTTTTTGTTTGTTTGTTTCTCTAAGGAAATTAAATAATTTTCAACTCACTCGTTAAAGTTATACAATGCAAACAAAGACAAAAATATATCGGAACTCATGCATTTCTGTAGCGTTAATATTTACTCTTCAAGACTCAACTAAGAGCATCAACACAACCTGTCAAGTTCTTTGACACCCCCCCCCCCAAGCCCGTGTAATCAATTACAGTATACAATAACAGTAATTCACATTTTCAACACAGTTCAACACTGCTGAAGCTGCGATATCCTTTCCATCCCCAGCAAACCTTCACAGACGGCGGCCCAGTGACCCAGTGTACGCTCATTGTTGCTCTCACTGGGAGCCGTCGGGAAAACCAGAAGTTGCCACAGAAAGTTTGAAAGTCAACTGCTTGTTTTAAAAATAGATAATCCAGCATTTCAGAAATTTTCCATTTGGGTCTAAAAGCATTCAGGTTTCCAACAGCCAGAAAGGAGGCATGCAATCTGAGACGCAGAAAGAGGCCAATAAAACCAGAGGGGGGTTCTATACTTCCGAACAAAAAAAGTGGGGGGGGGAGACCTCCAGAGACAATGCGGTGTGGACGAAATGAAGCCCTAGGAACGCTTCTGAGTCGTTTCCAAGGCTCTAATTGGCTCACTTCCCCGACCCCCTCTATCTCTGCCCTGCCCTAAGTTTATCAGTATGCTAAATTAGTGAGATTCTCATGCTATTCTAAAGTGCAAAAAACAAGTTAATATCCCAACTTTTTAGTTCCAGGAAACAAGACTGCTTTTAGACCGTACCACAACTATATAGAGATCTATGTATATATATATGTATATATACATATATATATAACTTAGATATATATATATGTATATACATATAAAATTATTTCCAGAGTTCTTGCGAGCTATCTTCTAAGGTCCAGTCTCTGACCGTGGGCAAGCTCAGGGCTTCGCTTTTGACGGACAAGGAGTTCACCAACTCACAGTGGAACTTGCGGATGTGCCTGTACAGGTCCCCGGACTGCGTGAACCTGCGCTCGCACCACTTGCACGCGTGCGGCTTCTCGCGGGTGTGCACCACGGCGTGGCGGCTCAGGTTGTGCGAGTACTGGAAGCTCTTGCCGCACTGGGTGCAGGTGTAGGGCTTCTCGCCCGAGTGGGTCCTCTCGTGGCGCTTGAGCGTGTACATGCAGGAGAAGGTCTTGCCGCACAGCGAGCAGGTGGGCACGTTGACGTCGGCGGCCGGCTTGCTGCGGATGCCGTCCTGCTCGCGGAAGTGCGTGCTCAGGTGGATCTGCAGGATGTGCGGGCTGGGGAAGACCTTGTTGCACAGCGGGCACATGAAGATCTGCCCGGCGGGGCTCAGGATGTTGGACACGTAGGGCAGCAGGCCGCCCTCCATGCCGCCCTCGCCCGGCCCGCGCTCGCTCTCGGGGGTCAGCATCTCGTCGTCGCTGGCCTTGTCCTCCCGCTCGAGCTCCCGCAGCACCGAGTCCTCCCGCAGCGGGGCCAGGTGGGCCGGCTCGTACTGGCCCCGGGCGGCCGCGCCCACACTGTCCTTGCCCGCGCTATGCTCCATGTCATAGTCATTAGTGCCCACATCGCTCTCATCACAGGAGGCCTCTTTCTCCACCTTCACCTGCACCAGGTTGCTTCTCAGCACGTCCTGTGAAGAGAAATAAGAGCTGTTCAGATTCTCAACGCCCGAAAGGCTGGACTTGACAGACAGGTCCAGCACGCAGTCAACATCTGCCGCGTCCCGCACGGAGGGGACAGACCTCTGGGACAGAGACTCGGAGCTGCAGGGGCTGGCCACTGTCTTGGCGGCCGCGGCGTGCGGCTCGGCCTCCCCGCCCGCCGGGGCCATGCCCGCCGGGTCCGAGGGCAATCGCATCCACATGGTCCCGGGCTCGCCGGCCAAGTCCCTCTTGCCGGGCAGGAGGCTCAGCTTCTCCTCTTCGGCCTCCTCGTCGTCGCTGGGCAGGTCGCCAGCCATGTGGCTGCTGCCGTCCGACAGGCTCTCCACTTTGTCCGAGCAGCTCGAGGCGTCCTCCTCCTTCTTGGTGCTGTCGGCCTCGGTGCTGGCCTTCTCCTTGAGCTTCTTCTTGCACACCTTGACGATGTCGTACATGTGCAGGTAGCTGGCGGCCGCCAGCACGTCCTCGATGGGCAGGTCTTTGAACTGCAGCTTGCCTTCGTACATGAACTCGAGCAGGAGCGCGAAGGCGGGCGCGGTGACGATGTCGCTGTTGAGGTGCACGAGGTCCCTCTTGTCCAGCTGGTCCTTGTAGAAGAGGTGGAAGTACATGCTGCAGGACGCCAGCACGGCGCGGTGGGCGCGGAACTGGGCATCCCCCACCAGCACGGTGCAGTCGCACAGGAAGCCCTGGTGCCGCTGCTCACTCAGGCACTGCAGCAAGTGTCTGCTGTGGTCTGGGAACTCCATGCTGTCTTCATAACCTGCCGGCAGAGAGAGGGGGACATTCCTCGTGAGCGCCGCTTCGCAAACTTTCCACGCCCGGCCCCTCGCAGAAAATAATAATCCGGCTTGGCAGCCCGGGGGCACGGCCCTGCATTTTAATCAGGCGTCTGGCCGGGAGGCCACCGAGTCACATGCACGCCGCCCCAACGCAGGCAGGAGAGGCAGGCTGTGCGGGCTGCCTGCCCCCAGCCCCCGTGTGCAGGGCGTCCCACCTTCCCCAACTCTCCCCCAAGTTTTCAAAGCCCCGATGCCAGGATCGCCTCTGACTGGGAAGGAGGACTTAGATCCCGCCCAGAAGCCCTTCGTTAGCGCTCCCCGCCAGCCTGAGCCCCACAAAACCTACAAAATAGCTTGGGTTTCAAAGGGAACAACTCATAATGAACAAAGAGGAGTCCCAGGCGCACTCTGGGACATGCAGGAAACGTGTCTGGCCGTTCTTTTTATTACTTTTGATACCTGACTGTTGCTCACAAAGCACAATTGAAACATACACATGCGGTTGGATAATAATTTTGAAAAGAACACATCGTGAAATTGCATAATTGGTCCAGGAATCAGCAAACAACTTTCTTTTTTAGAGTCCGAGTGTGAGAACAACAAAAGCCCCTGGTGTAAGAACAGATGTGAGAGTCTGAGAGCTCAGGTACCGCGCACATGGACGGGGCGGGAGGAGCCGCGCCAACAGATGGGAAAGATCATCTTTGCTGCGAACCCATCCAAATATTTTTTTAATGAATTGAGAAAAATGGTCATTATTTCTTTGGAAAATCTGTACCTTTGGAGACTTGGGGAGCCAGAAGGGCTTTATTTAACTCTGAAAAAATCTTATCTAAACTTTGATCCTTTGCAAAAAGCAAGATGAGTTCCATATTCAGATCAATCCAAACTTTTAAATAAAGGCACATTATGTGCAAGTGAAATTCAAAAGCTTTACAGGTTCAACATTAAAAAAAAAAAAAAAAAAAAAAAGCCATCCTAGAAAAAGAGAAACTATTTTTCTTCCCCCTGACTCTGCCTTACCTTTGTCAACAGAAAATACTTTGTTTCAACATAACTTGATATATTTTGCTTTCCCACTGGCTTCTATTCTTTCAAATAGGCATTGTTGCCCTGGTTTTCTGGCGGAGGGGGGATGAGAGGGAGGGAGAGGCAAGGCGAGGCTGTACAATGGGTCAAAATTCAACTCCCAAAGAAAACCCCACTTCCCCTTTCCTGTGCCAAAAGCAGGGTTCCACCCACCCCAGCAGGCTCAGTGGGAGAATGGGTACACAGCCGTTTCGAATTCAGAAACTCCTTCCCTGTTTCTCTACACGCTGCCCGGGGTGGACCGAAACTTTCCCCCTGACCCCATAACCGACCGGCCTGCGAGGCCACCGCGGAGCACGCCGCGATTCGCAATAAATACAATCACTCCGAGTGCCCCACGCTCGCACCCATCCTAATCCTGGGGAGGACTAAAAATAAAGGCTGGAGGGCAGCTCACAAGGTAGCCGTGATCAAATTAGGAGGCTGAGCGGACGGAGAGGGCCGAAGAAGGAAGCTTATAAACATCTGATCCAGCTGACGGGGGCCATATGGCAGCTGCAGCCCAGATAAAGAGATTAAGAACTGAGGAGTGCGATTACAGCTGTCTGGCCAATTCAGGCAGCTCAGCCCTACAAGGTCTAAATTAGTCGCTAACACAAAAACTCCTGCAAATAATTACTGTTATGCTGAAATAAAAGATCTCTTAAATATATATTGGAAAGAGAAATGAGGAAACCAAACTATTCTCCTGAGGACAAAAGTTTTCTTGTGTGTGTGTGTGTTGTTTTTTTTTCTTTTCCTTTTTTAAAAAAAAAAAAAAACCTTCCGTTTCAAAAGCACCACACAGCTGTATGTTTCAGCAGGGCTGCCGAATGTTTGTGAAGAATAAAGTTTCACAGTGGAATTAATTACACAACAGCCTCGCTTCTCAGCTAGAATAATCCTCTCGTGGAAGTTTGAATGTGGATTCCAGAGAGTTTACTGTTTCTCAAAAGGAATCTAAACAGCAGTGAAAAACAACAACAGAAAGCATTTGAATCCAAAGTGATCTCAAAAAAGCACCATGTCAAAGCTTTTCTTAACATCTCCAAGCTTGAAATATTTCTGTGTATTAAAGTTCTTTCCTTGTTCGAGCAAAAAAAAAAAAAAAAAAAAAAGGGATAAAAATTAAAACTGCCCAAGCCCCAAGACTATAAACTCCTGTAAATGTCCGTTTCATAATATTCCATTTCATACATCACTCCTAAAGTGGATTAGAAAAGTAATGTGATTTTTCTCAAAATCAAATAAACAAAACACCCAAGCACAAATAGGCTCCTTCTAATCTCTCGCTGCTCCTACCTTTCGGACACATAAACCTGATTAAGTCCTTCCCTCGGAGGCTCGCTGGCTCCAGGTCCGGGACATCGGTGGAAAAAAAGCAGACAGAGAGACAGATGCAGAGTGGAGAGGATGTTGGAGAGGAATGAGATACCTTCTCCACCGCAGATCCGCGCACACTGGCTCCCTGTCTTGTGTGTTAGAATAAAAGGCTGAGGGATGGCAGGCTGTCAGCTGCTCTGACATCATGTTCAGATGGAAAAATGCTACCTCCAGCTGTGCTCCTTTTAATGCCATATGCTACTCCTCTCCACTCCTGCCACCCGCTTCTTCTTAGGAGAACTTTTCTCTTCTGTTAGTATAAACAAAATACTTCAAAGTCTCCCCTTTTCCCCCCCAAACTTTCTAACGCAGAAATTAAAGAAGAAGAAAAAAAAAAAACCTCAGCATATGGAGTTCTGTATTTATGGGCTTACGACGCTTCTGTCTGAGGCTGGGAGGACAGGCGCAGGCTGGCAGCACCCTCCGGCCAGGGCGCTGGTCAGGAGCCCAGACCCCCCCTGACCCCACTCCCCTTCCCTTTCAGAGCAGTTTGAGGCCAATTTTAAACCAAACCCTCGGCCACCTCCAGGCCCATGTCAGCATTATGACGGCACCTTTTTTTAATTATTATTATTATTTCTTTCTTTCTGCTGAGATGATGGTGCAGTCTCAGGCTGGAGGGAGGCGAACCATGCCTTCAGCCTGGCTCGCTGCATTAACTATTTCACTCTTATTGAACTACTAATCTGCGGTGACCTTCTCAGGAAAACTTCTCACACTTGTCAGTTACATGCAAATTTCGGTTTTCACTATCAACACACCGGCCAGCGCGCTTTCTGAAATCCTAAAAAGTGCCGCGGCCCCGAGGAGACACAGGGATGGGATGGAGCCAGGCCCCTGCCCACGAGGCTGCACCTGCCTCTGCCTCTGCCCGACCCTCCTCCGCTCCCAGAAGCGGCCGTTGGCCTCCCCCTCCACCTGATTTGATTTTTATTTCTCTTTTTTGGGGGGGTGAGGGGGGTCACTCTGCACTGTTTGTGATCCCGGGAAAACCTCTCCCGGGGGGAGGGCGCTTGGGGGTGGGGTGGGGGGCAGGTGTGGGAAGTTGGGGGACTGGGGAGCCGGGCTCCGCGGGCCGGTCCGATCGGGGCGGCTGATGAAACCGGGACGCAATCCGGGCGGGCGGCCCGCAAGGTGCTGCGACATCTGCGAATGTCACGTCCATCCCCACGGCCGGCGGCCGGGGCGGGGCGGGGAGGAGAGGAAAGGGGGGGGGCCTGGGCCCTGGGGGTGCCCCCCCCCAGTCCGTCCTCGTGAGAAAGCCCCGCCGCCGGGCTCCTCCGGGGGAACAAAGCCCCCGGCCGCCCCCGCGTCCTGCCCCCCAAGTCCCCGGCCCAACTTTGTGCAACTTCGCGATGCCGGGCCCCGCGGCCGGGCCCGCTCCGGGGGGCTCCCTCCGCGGCCCGATGCCGCCCCCCGCGCCCTCGCCCCGCTCCTCCGGGGCGGGGGGGTGGGGGGGCATCCATCACCCGTGACCCCGGCGGGTGGGGGCGACTGACAGCTTAACGGGCCCCGAGCCCCCCGGCGGGCGGGCGGCTACCGCGGGGCCGGGAGCCGGGGGAGGTCGGGTCCTGTTCCCCAAAGGGGCGTGTGGGGATTTGGGGAGGGGGGACCCCAAGGGCAGTGGGGGGCCGTGCAGACCTCCCCGCGGCGGAAGGGGAAGGTGAAACCGCAGGGAAAGAGGCGGCGGCGGTGCAGGGCGCAGAGCCGGCCGGTGCGGCAGGAAAACACCTTCCCCCGGAGCCGAGGAAGCAGAGCCGGGTCAGGGCGGCAACAAAAGAAAAGTCGTAAGAAGCAGCCCGGGGGGTGCGGGCGGGCGGCTACCGCTTCCCCCGGCCGCCAGCCCCCGGGCCTCCCGGCAACGGCCCCCGCCCGGGGGGAGGGGAAGGGGGGGACGGGGCTCCCCGCGGCCCCTCCCGCCCCCGGCGCCGCTGCAGCTGCACCGCCGGTGCCCGGAGCGCGGCCGGCGTCCCGGGCGCCGCTGCAGCTGCGGCGGCTCCGGGCCCCCTCCCCCCGCCCGCCGCCCCGGGAGGCGCCGCCGCCGCAGCTGCACCGGCCGGGAGCCCGCCCCGCGCCGCAGCTGCACCGGCCGCGGGGGGAGGGGGCGCGGAGCCGGCCGGCCCGCACCCCGCACCCGCCCGCCGGCCCCGCAGCTGCAGCCCCGCCGGCCCCGCGCCCGGGCCCTCCCGCCGCCCAACCGCCGCGCTCCGGCCGCCAAACTAACTCCGCTCGCGGGGGGGAGGGGGCGCCCCGGCCCGGCCCGGCCCCCCGCCCCCCGCCCTCCGCCCGCACCGCACCGCCCCTCCGGCCGGCCGGCCGCACAGCTGGCGCCCCCTCCCGCCCGCCGGGGGTCCGGGCGCCGCCGGGTCAGAGGCCGGGGCCGGAGCGGGACTCACACGGAGCGGCCCGAGTCCCCGCGTCCCCGCCGCCGCCGCCGCGTCCTCCGCCTCCGCCGCCTCCGCCTCCCGGCCGCCGCCGCCGCCGCCGCCGCCGGACTTGGTGGGCTTCCTCCTCCTCCTCCTCCTCCTCGCGCCCCCTCCCTCCCGGCCCCCCCCGCCCCCCGAGCCCGGCTCCGTCGCCCGCCCCCGCCCCCGCCGGCAGCCGGAGGAGGAGCGAAGAGGCCCCCCTCTCAACGGCTCCCCATGGCAGCAGCCCAGCGGCGGCCGCAGCCGCCAGACACCGCGAGCGAGCGAGCGCGGAGCGAGGAGCGAGCGGAGCCGCCGGGCCGGGCCGGGGGGGCGGGGCGGGGGGGCCGCGCGCGGGGAGGGGGCGGGAGGACGCACCACGCACGCACGCGGCGGCGGCGGCGGCGGCGGCGGCGCCGGCCAGATGTGGCCCCCCCGTCGGCTCGGCCCGCCCCCTCGTCCCCATGCCTCCTGCTTCCCCCCCCCCCCCCGCCCCACTTCCCACCCCCCCCTGCGGCGCCGGGCTCCTGCGATTGACCGAGAGCGCCCGGACCGGCGCCGCCCGCCCGCCCCCTGGCCGCAGCCTCCTCCAATAGGAGGGCGGCTTTTCGGGAGGGGGCGGAGGCAGTGGCGGGCACTCGCCGGACTGGCAGGGGAGGCTCGGCCAATGGGAGGAGCGGGCCTGAGCTGCCGCTCGCGGTGTCCCAATCGCCAGGTCGGAAGTGCCGGGGTGGGCGGGGCCGGGCGCGGCGCGGGGCGGAGCCCTCGGGCGGGCGAGGCGGCGGCGGCGGCGGCGGCGGCGGCAGCGGCAGCGGCGCCCCTCCGGGTGACTTGGCCGTGAGAAAGTGAAAGGAGCCCGCGGGCGGCGGCGACAGCTGCGCGGGGAGGGGCCTGTCTCCGGGCGCGGAGGCCTCTCGCGCGGCGGGGCGGCGGAGCCAGGCGCTCCGGTGGGCGCCGTGACAACCACAAATACACTTTCCAACGCGGCGGCGGGGGACGGGCCGCTCCAAGTTGGGCCGGTCTCCCCGGGGGAGAGGCCGGGCACTCGGGGACGCCGAGGACTCGGGGCCGGCGGCGGCGATCGGGGCTCACGCGGTTCCCTGTTGTGGGGTGACCCTTCCCGTCCGGATCCTCGGCTGCCTGCGGGGCCCGGCTGCCCGGTGCCCGGCTGCCCGGTGCCCGCGGGGCGGCGGGCGCGGGGAGGCCGCCCCGGGCGCCGGTCTCGCTGCGGCGGATCGGAGCCTCCGCCTTGCATTTCCCCGGGAGCCTCCGTGTCCCCGCGTCCCGTGTGCGCTCGCCCCGCGACAAGTAAAAGACATCCCCCGGGTGACCAAATGTCAGGGAGTTACCCTCAAATTGCTGCTTGCAGGCACCGTAGCCTGATTCCTTAATTGGCACGTAGCAAGCCGCAACTTCCAACTGCGGGGAGGAGGGAGGAGGGCGGAAAAGGCCGCCTGGCTGCGCCTCCCTCCCAATGCACTTTAAAAAATTTATATATTTTTATTTTTCCAATGCACTTTTATTCCGTTTCTTGTGCTTTGCAGCGAAGCCGTGTTGCAACGGTGGCAACACGAAGAAGTCAAGAAACGTTAAGGCCCTCAAAGATACTTGGAAATCTTTGCAAGTTAAAAAAGAAAAAGGAAAAGGGGAAAAAAAAAAGTTGAATCGCCTGGGAAAGAGCAGTGGTTCAAGGACAGAGAAGAGAAACCTGCGGAGGGAAGAAGTCATGGTCACATGCAAGGTGTTTACTCTTGGTTGGCCTGGCTGGCCCCGGCCAGCCTGTTGCTCACCAGCTCGCCAGGAGACAGCCCGTCCAGCCACGGGGCAAAAGGCGGTTTCCCTTCGCCGCCCCAGGCCCCAGGGGGGAGCTCCGGGTGCAAAGTGATTATTGTCAGGCGTGTGCAATGAAGAATGGGGTGCAAACGGGAGCCCAGAACATTCCAGACCCAAGATGGTGTCCTTGGTGGCCTGTTAGGAGCAGGAGGAGGACCTTGTCTGCCCTCGAATCTCAACCTTTCCAGCTGCCTCCCCTCCTGATGGATCACAGGGGTCAGAGTCTTTGATCCCATGACATCCAGGCTGGGCGGAAGTAGGTTTACAGTGGTGCCTAGGAAGAGTTGATGCTTGTTCTTAATTGATTACTGTCTGGTTTTCCATAGGAACAGCCGTGAACCTACCGTGGCCCAGCCCTGGAAAGTGTTGCTTCTGTGCTTCTGGTGAATTCTAGGTCCTTCCAGTCTGGTGGTCAGGAGGCCCAGCTTCAGGCTGACCTGTTTCAAGTTAGGGAAATGGGCAAATATTCTCGATGGATGAAAAAATTCACGGTAAAAAAAAGTGAAAATGAGTAGTTTCACTAAGACGTTTGGAGGGAAATAAGGGGGAATGCATTCTCCAAACTGTTTCTCACCTACTGGAGGTTAAAAGGAACAAGTCTCCAGATGAATAGAGTGGCTTGATAGAGTCAGGACAGTAAGGAATGAAACCATGAGGACAGTAGAACACTCAGACTGCCCACAGCAAGCTCAGA